TTCTTTCTTCTATGTTCTCAATTTCAACATGCAATCACCATCAGTCTATATAAAGCACATCACCTATCCAATATACCCGTGTTATTGATAAAGGTCACACTATACAAATAACACAACCGTTATAGAAGGATGTATTTTGTTTATTCTGTGTATTATTGGTAGTTGCAGTAGTAATGGTGCATCTGCTGTGATCAATACCATTATTATCAATGTTATTATTGAATCAGAGCCCAGAAGTAACAGTAATATAATAATAGCTTCCTTCACGTGTAATGATCCTTTACTGACAGCAGAGGGCAGGATCCACTAGAACTAGGACTGGCTCTTGAACGCCACTTCACCTCATCCTTTCTGACTTTCCCTGAAACTTTTATGGTGGATGTAGCTTAAGATATTGGTTTTATTAATGTTTCACAGTCATAATCTGAATAACTGAATGTCTTTGTCCAGTTTTCAGAGTCATTTAAAGGGACTTACCTGTAGTGCATCAGGATGAATTCTGAAGTGTTTGGGGCACCATTATCTGCTCAGATTCAACCAAATGCTTCAAAACTCATTGGACGATGCTTCACAGTGCAGTTGGACAATGACCTGAAGCATACTGCAAAAGCAACCAAAGACATTTTTAAGGCAAAGAAGTGGAATGTTCTGCAACGGCCAAGTCATATCATCTGACCTGAATCCAACTGAGCATGCGTTTCTCTTGCTGAAGCCAAAACTGAGGGCAAAACACCCAAAACACAAGCAGGAAGTGCAGACGGCTGCAGTAAAGGGCTGGCAGAGCATCACCAGGGAAGAAACCCAGCATCTGATGATGCCTGTGTGTCCAACACTTCAGGCAGTCATTGACTGTAAAGGATTTGCAACCAAGTATTAAAACTGACTGTTTAATTGATGATTATGTTAGTTTGTCCAAATACTTATGAGCCCTTAAAGTCGGGGGACTGTGTGAAGAAATGGTTGTAATTCCTACACGGTTCATACTACATTTTTGAAAAAAGCCTTAAATGAAAGCTGAGAGTCTGCACTTTAAGCAGGTATTCATTGTTTCATTTAAAACCCATTGTGGTGGTGTAAAGAGCCAAAATGATGACAACTGTATCATTGTCCAAATAATTATGGACCTGACTGTATGTTCATATTGCTTTTATAAATCAATAAAAAGAGAATCACCAAAAATAAATAAATAAATAAATAAATAAATAAAAATAAATCATTTCACAATTTGCCCTTAAGAGCTTTGCTTTGGAAAAACAGGTTTGTAGGTTACTGATTGGATCAGATAAGTAAGGTGTGTGTACAAGATATCTAACAAGTATATCAACAAGTACCTTATTTACACTGCATTTCAATACACACTTGTTTTCAGGTAAGTATGTTATCTTCCATCATGGGGGTAAAAGGTATTCCAGGGCAAATTCTCAAGTCTCTCCCTTCCTTGTCTACTTTCTGTTTTCCCTCTTGATTACAAAGCAATTTCTTGGCAAAGTGTAAAGTCACATCAGATGTAATGGACTGGTGAAATCAAGATACGGTAAGGCATGAAAAAAAAAACGCCCTCGTGTTTTATCAGGGCGCTGGGGATTCCCAAAGGTTTGCGCGCTCCTGGGTGGAGGAGAGCTGGAGGAATGGAAGGGTTGCACATTCCTGACGGATGGCATAAGACTTCCCATCAGTGGAGCGGGAGGGAATTGGAAAATAATCCCTCATTTTCCAAGTTGAAATAAATGCAGTTATAGGCTGTGAAGTGGAAAAGGGCATCTCTTTCAAGCACGTGCTTTCGCTGTCTCGGGGGGCGGGGCGGAAAACGGCAACCTACTTTCTACTCTACTCCCTGAATGATGATAATAAAAGCGATCGTGCGTTGGGGAGATCAGTGAGACCACGTGTCGTGTGTTTGCAGCGCGCGAAACATGCCAAAAAAATTGAATAGATTATTGCAGCACTCATTCCAGATGCTATACATCTGAAGACTGAATCTGTCCCGCATACAGATGTGGCTGATTCAGCTGAGGTGAAACACATCTGGATCTATTAGCAGATTATATGAGGCAGGGTCAGTCCAAGCAACAGGCTGGAGGAGGAAACAAGGTGTCTGTCATGTGAGGGCCAACCTGCTGCACCAGAGGCACTTATTTCACCAGTCTATTTATGTGATTGGCCCCTGAGTTAAAGCAAATAGGCTGACAGAACAACTTAACTCTGAAGTCTGTGGTGAATTCCTATAAAACAATTTTTTATCAGACAAGTGGAAACTGTATAGTGCACGCTGAATGGAGTGGATGACTGGCTATATGGTGTGAAATTGTTGCCAGACATTCCAATGTGGTGACACACACACACACACACACACACACAGAGGACCACAAAGTAACCCAGAGCCGCAGTTATTGTCCTCCTGTCCGCAGCTCAGTTGGCTACTGGGAGAGAAGATGCTGCATTCACTTGCTGTTGGATATTTTACAATTAAGTTTAACATGGCAGAAAACACCAATAAAAAACATGATTAAATACACATATCTTGCATTTACCACACAAAACAAAACACTTAACACTATTATGCCTATATGTGACATAAGTGACATACCATCTGTGTATTGCACATCTTCCTTCCTTCCTATCTAGCGCAGCAGATTATATGTGGAAGCTCATGTGGACCACATGCCCAGATACATTCCAGTTCTCTCATGCTGTAATAATACTAACTAGTCCTGAGTCCTGAGTGTTGTTTTATTTGTTGCAATTCAATTTAACAATGTACTATAGGAATAACCACCACAAAAACACATCCATCCATCCATTTTCTAACCGCTTATCCTCTTGAGGGTCGCCGGGGGGGGGGGGGGGGGGGGGGGGGGGGGGGGGGGGGGGGGGGGGGGGGGGGCTGGAGCCTATCCCAGCTGACATTGGGAGGCAGGGTACACCCTGGACAGGTCGCCAGACTATCACGGGGCTGACACATAGAGACAGACAACCATTCACACTAACATTCACACCTACGGCCAATTTAGAGTCACCAATTAACCTGCATGTCTTTGGACTGTGGGAGGAAGCTGGAGTACCCAGAGAAAACCCACATTAAATTAAGATAATATGGTCTTAAAATGACTCTTGGACGAGAGGCGAAATGTCTTCAAGAAACACAAGCAAATCCAGTTGCATACAGTATAGCACTTATGCTTGGCATTCATTGTTTTACTATTTGTTGTATCACACAAACTACTGCAATTTTCCCAACTTGGTTTTACCGTACAGTGGCCTAAATGCAACTTTCCATATTTGCGAAGTTTTTCCAAGTTATAACATATAACATGATACTAGTCCATCCATACCCATTGAGTACAGCATACCATACCATGACTTAGAAAAAACAAAACATTCAGCCACAGGGGGAGCCACAGCGATCTGTCGCATTTTAGCCATTTTTAAGCATTTTTCTGTTGTTATAGCGCCACCCAGTTGCCAATTAGAGTTAAATTCTCCAGTCACCTTGAGGCATCCTGTTCTACATATCTACCACGTTTAGTAAAAATCGATAAGGCGGTTAGGCCTAGATAAGAAATTAGCTCTCTAGCGCCCCCATTTTGTTTGATGGGGTCAATAATGGAGGGGTCCCCTCAGATTATGTGTGGTCATATGCCTACAAAGTTGCGTGGTGATCGGTGAAACCCTTGAGATGTTATACACCTTTATGTGATGAGCCACGCCCTCCGCAATATTCATTGCCTTATAGAAGCTCAGTTTTAGTAAGTTTTACAACTTTTGCCAAGAGGGAACTTTAGATATTGGTCCCTAGATTATGTTCACCGAGTGTCATGCAGATCGCTCAAACGTCCTAGGAAGAGATCGATTTTAAGTGTTTTTCAAAAAAATCAAAATGGTGGAAAATCTATATAACATGAAGTTATGGGTTCTTGAGGCAAATTTGTTCCTCATGAGGAGAGGCATCTCTGTGCAAAGTTTCATGTCTCTACGACATACGGGACATGAGATATGCCCATTCAAAGTTTGCAATTTCAATCAGTTGCTATAGCGCCCCCCTTTGGCCAATTGATGCAATATTGCTTCATTCGCATCCTCCCATGACCCTCTACCACTGTGCCAAATTTCACATGGATTGACCAAGTCAGTGAGGAGAAAAACGTGGAACAGACAGAGTTTTCGTCATTATATAGTAAAATAAAGTTGTGGATCACATAAGGAAGTGGTTGGGTACAATGGTACCTAAATCACCAAGGTTATGCCTTATGGGGGACCAAACAGAACTGCCGAACGTATCAAAATATGACCCTGTGGTGCTAAATGTAGGGGTTGTCACAGCTGCTCAAGTGATCCTCAGATTCTGGAAGAGTACATCACTTCCAGATTTTGAAAAGTGGAAGGAATCTATGTTAGAAATTGTGTCATACAAACATGTTAGCTAGGGTCAGTGATGAAGTTGAAAGCCACTACTATGGGTACAAGAATGTGTAACTACCAGGTGCCTGTTGATATGTTGAGTTCAAATAACAGTACTGTCTTGTCTGTTCAGATGACTGAATAGATAAATAAAGAAATCATATCATAACATATCAGCCAAAAAGCCTTTGGAATATATAAGAGCACACTCACTATCTCCTTGGTAACCCACCAATCTACCTAATAGTACACCCAACCCATCAACAACCACAACACTGTCAACAGCTGGACTAACATGTTTACCTTTACCTCAGACTATTCCATCTATCATCTACCCTATATACATACATAT